TGTTTTTACTGTTTTGAAATTTTCATAGAGGAAAATTGAATAACAGAAATTTCCATAGAGGAAATTTGGAGAACAATGTTTTCCTTAGAGGAAATTTGTGGTCTTGAATTTTCCCTCAAGGAAAAGTGTCTGTCAAAAATTTCCTCACAGGAAATAGTTGTTTACAAAATTTCCTCACAGGAAAAAGTATTTCCTCAAAGGAAAATTTGAAGCCGCAAATTTCCTCACAGGAAAAAGTATTTCCTCAGAGGAAAATTTGAAGCCTCAAATTTCCTCGGAGGAAATAGAATTTCCTCAAAGGAAAATTTGAAGCCGCAAATTTCCTCACAGGAAATAGAATTTCCTCAAAGGAAATATTAATGCAGCAAATTCCCTAAGGGAAATCTTTTTCCTTTGAGGAAAATACAATTTCCCTTGAGGAAAAATCTTTTTCCTTTAGGGAAATTTGATTTCCCTTGAGGAAAACTACTTTTCCTCTGAGGAAATTGTTGAAAAAAGGGGCATAACTTTTTCAACAGTGGTGCTAGAGCCAAAATTTTTTAGGACAAATATCAGGGAACCAATACCAACCAAGTTATCAACTTCATTTTGACTTAACTCCAAAAATTAAGGTGACAACTTTTGCACTCAGCGGAAGTGCAAACTTGTCCCGGAGACTGTTATCTACTGTTAATTATATGGTATATAGTGAGTTGGGTAGATAACCCTTTGTACATAGAGAGATTTTAAAACCTCGTTACAAACAAAACTTGGCATGTAAAATTAGAAACATATTATTTCGTTTTGGTTGTCAAGATGTATGGTTACACCAAAATGTTATTACTATAATATAATAGTATTAATTTGTTTTTGCAAGAAATTGTCAATAAAATGAAAGGTAGTTTTGTGAGTGAAATGAATGCTTTTTTTCAATGAGTCATCAAAGTGTCAGTTTTATAGATATATACACGATCCAGATACTTTACCAATTTACCTACAAAAACCTGTAAACTATGTGTATAAGCCATACATTTGTAGTTTTTTTTTATAGATTGTCTACACACTACCTTAACATTGAAACCGGCAGATTTTGTAATGTTGAAAGAGAAAACAGATTTTGTAATATGTGTGATAAAAATCTGATTGAAGATGAATACCATTATATTTTAGTATGTGACAAATATTTTGATATAAGGAAAAAATATATAAAACCATTTTATTGAGAAAAAAAAACATCTTGCTATAAATTTATACAATTATTGTCTGTTCGTAACAATAAAGAGCTTAACAATCTAGGTAAATACCTTTATATAGCTGATAAGATTCGTTATTCATAATGTAATGCTCATATTTCATTATTTATATTATTTTTTGTCATTCTCCGCCGATGATTTAATGGTTCAAACTGTTTGTAATTGTAAAACACATATGTAATTAATCACTGATGCTATTATATTTGTATATGTAAACTCTATAAGCTGTATTGCTTTTGAATAAACGACTATTATTATTATGGAAGTAGGTTCAACATTACTGTTGAAACTTTAAATTTATGTTATATAAATACTTAATTTAATATTCGAATTCCAGCGTTTATTCTATTTTCTAATTATGAATCTTTAATTGAAACAAATTCAGGGAAAATTTGCTGTATATAACTCTTTCAGTTACAGAATTACAAGAAGACTGTATGACGAGATGACATTCTAATAATATGTTTATTTACATTCAGTCTGAAAGAGTGCAATTCAAGAGATGGTGTTGTCTCTTCCGTATGTTGCAGACATAAGACTATCATCTTAAATCTCTTTAACGGTTGAGTCATTGTAAATTTAAATTTTAATTATATTGTTTCCTGGTTATCTTCTTTTTTTCAATTCAGTAGCAAAAATACTTTCTTCCTTCACATGCATATGTAGAAATCTGACGCGGGAGTTACCCAGCAAAAGCTTCACAAAGCCAGATATAGCTGACATAATTAAATAGAAGTTAAATTCTCCCAATATTGTTTTCGATTGGAATGAGTTTCGTTTTTTAGATTCTATATCACAGATTAACAGAGCTCTGTAAAGTATGAATTGTTGTCTTTTTGTGCCATGCGTTAGCCGACAATTAGCACGTATCAAGCGGGAGCTGCTTACTATTCCAATGGAATTGAGTTAACTCAGGTTCAAGCAAAGGTATTGTTAAGACAATTCATAGTTTACTATGCTCTGTTCGTGTTGACTGTGGTACATATTGATACTAACGTCTTCATGTTCTTATTTCACTTTTCTTATTTTGATTTATTTACATTATGTTGTTATGTATTTGCATTGTTTTCATGCTTTTCATTTCAAGAACATACATGTGTATTTATACAATTTATCTTATTTTTCTTACTTTACGATAATTCATTTTTTTTTTTCAAAATGTATCATTATCTTACTTTTTATACTTTCATTTTAAGAACAGATTTAAAATATCCTATTTTTCTTACTTAACGATAGTTCATCTTTTCAAAATGTATCATTATCTGTAGCTGCCTATATGTTATAATTCCTAGTGTGAGTAAAATGTGTACATTAGAATCATGAATATTGAACGAATGTATAAAAGAAATTAAATCATAATATGCATGATATTAAATATAGTAAGGTTGCTTAGTTATTTACAGGTACATGATAGTGCTGTTGTATTCATCGAACTTAAAGATTTAGTTGAAAACTCTTCCTTTTCTCTTAAAGGCACGGATGTAGATAAAACTGTAGAATAATGAAAACGTGGTAAATCAAAATTTATTTCAAGTTAATATATTATTCAAATACATGTATCAAACTCCCATAGCACAGCCATAGTTTTTAGATGTGGTATGAGCTCGAAAAGGGTTGCTGTCAAGTCATTTGAAAAACAAATATAACAATTGACATGTTTACTAAGGTTCAAACTCCCTCAGGCAAACTTCTTGACCATAGATGAGTTATGCTATTCTTTTTATGCCTTTTGGTTATATAGCTCCTAACGTTTCTACGTACTCATGCATACCTGACTTTCATTATGAAGTAATTTGGCTAAGTTATATGTACTTGGGACCTAAAAAACTACTCGTTCCGAAGATTTAGCAATTGGCATGATATCGCTTTAAATATATAGCGACTTAATAATTTGAGAGATAAAAAAAATTGACATTTTAGTTTAAAAATACTTTGAAATAATAACAAAAGTAATTGATTATCAATTGCGTACTAGCTGCTGGTACGGAACTTTATGAGCGAAGCATCAATTCCACAAGAAAGAGTGTAAGATAAGCACGAACATAAAAAAACGCATTTCTGTTTCTCAGCGGATGTAGAAATGGGTAAGAATGAAAGTTTTCATGTTGAAAAGGATTTATGCGTATGATTTGTAAAAAATTATAAAAAAAAAGTAATAAAAGATTTCCGGGAAATTGCGACTGAGGAAAAATGAATACTGTTATTGCCAAATTTTTTGCTACAGTATATATCCGTGTCAGGGATAAATAAATCGAAAATGTATCGTTTTGCTGATAATTAACACCACTAAGTACTTCAAAAATATTTCCAATTGAATTTGTGCCAATTTCTTACCTTTGCAAAAAAAGATATTCCGCATTTCTTATGTAAGAAAAACCCCAAATTGGTAAATCAAACCAGAGAAAAAGGTTTTTACTAAATGTTTTATGTTTGGGTATTTTCGTTTTCATCTACTATATGTAGTTTTAGATTTGCCTATCTGTATCTATTCATCTCAACAATCTCTATTATCTTGTGGTAGTGAAGATTCTAAATCATAATATACAGAAACTAAGAGCAATACCAGTCAATTAGTGATTCGAGACCACGGGCCAGGTGCCTGGTTTTCGAAAGTATCTTAGGACTAAGACATGTCTTAATACGGTCTTACGGGCGTGTCCAGTCTTAAGACACGTTTTGGAAAGTGTTACAAGTTTAGATATGTATTAATTTTAATCGTAATCGTAAGACACCTCACCACATGTTTTAGGATGTCTTTTAAAAGATTGTATTTGACTGTCGTTTAGATGCACATTCGACAGCGGACTGAAAACGTACGCCAAAAACGGTGTTCTGAGATAGAAATAACAATTTATGTAGGGATGAGAGGGAAAGTCGGTATGGATGAGCAGATGAAACATCCAATACCCCACCCTTTTCATATAATTTTTTTGAATAAACGACACAAAATCAGTATGTGGACAGTAAAAATCTCAAAAAGCAAAGGAACAGCGCTTGTATTGCTGTTCTTCATCTCAAAGTCAAAGTGAGGCCTTCAACACGGAGCAAAATAAACTGTTGACACAGAGATATGTCTCGCCTATCTGCATAAAATTCAGAAATAGACAATCTGATAGACAGCAAAATTACTTATTAATTCAGCCACTGGACCATGATCTAGTGGGCAGGGCCTGAAAATGGTCGACACATTGAGATGTACAGATAGTAATGTAACTTTATAGAAAATATCGTTGTTTATTGTAAGAAGTTCCTATCAATATAACTTACGCAGAAAAACTTAACATTGAAAATTGCTAATTAATTCAAAGTCACAGGACCATTTCCTAGGGGGCAGGACATCAAAATAGCCGTCAAACTGATATGCACTGAAAGTAATGCAACTTTATACAAAATATCATTGATAGTTGACAGTTAGCCCTTATCAAACTGACTTAAGCAGAAAACTTAACATTGAAAATTGCTAATTAATTCAAAGTCACTGGACCATGACCTAAGGAGTGGGGCCTCAAAATAGTCATCAAACTGATATGAACTGATAGTAATGCAACTTTATATTCAGTTTTAAGACGATTCTTAGCACCGGTTTGAGCGGAATTCTTTGCACACTTAAGATCACGCCACAACTGTGAACATGGAGTAATATCAATAATATAAATCTGGCAAAGAAATCAAACATGTACTGTCAGTATTAAGCACGACAATCACACTGAAGCATGCAGGCAGTTCTTAAAAATATTTTTTTCTGATGTTACCAATTATTCTATTTACCTTCGATACACCTGTACGTCACATTTAGATATTTGTATGTTCCAGGGCAAGGATCGCCGTATGTATTTGAAGACTGTGGTAAGCATGTTCGGAAAGAATTACATTTACTCGCTACACGGCTGGTAGCTGTCCTTCTACACGAGTAGGACACGCTAGACTTAACACTAGGGTGAGGACACACACTGGAATCTGTTCTACCATAAATGGCATCTATAATGGTGATTATTTGTGTTGTAGAACATGCAAGAATTGGACTTCTTTTACTTTCACACAGAATGTAATTGAGATCTGAAAAAAATTTAAAAAGTCCATTAAGCATATAACAGAACATTGATTTAATTTATTCTATGATAATTAACTCATCAGAGACACCATGATTGAAATTGTGTACGCCAGACGCGCGTTTCGTTTACAAAAGACGCACCAATGTTGCTCGGATCAAAAATTGTTAAAAAGGTCAAATAAAATACGAAGTTGAAAAGCATTGAGGATCCAACATTCCTAAAAGTTTACCTTTCTACTTTATAACCCGATGAATCTATTTTTTCATGAGACGAATTTCTATTGAATAGTTTACGTCATTTAAAAGAAAAATAACGTTTGTTGGTAGATTCGTGTTTGTCCTATGATTGGACTTGTTTGCTGGTTAATAAGTAGAGGCTTATTGAAACATTGGCATTATATTGTTTCGTACAAAAATTATCAATTAGGACAGAACGTGAATTCCCAAACATTTAGATTCGAGTTTCTAGCTACACATGACATATTTTGGTATCATACCCGTATGTTTATATTACTACCACTTGATTGAAACCGATGCTGATGGACAATAATATTAAAACTAAGGTCATAACTCACAGATTTGCTTTCAATAGTAACATGGGTAACGAACGCTTATGTAATGATTTCCAAAACTTTTTAATTCGAGCGTTTCCGATAAATGTTATTTCAGAATCGAGTGTTGAGTGCAATGCATTGAAATCGGTAGCAAACGTTTAAGGTATGTTTATTTATGCCAGTATCATTCTATAAGTTATATATGGTTTACTACTGACCCTCTACGAATCTATTGAGGGTTAGTAAAATCCATAAGGATGAGGCCGGAGGCCGGTATAATACGTTTATGTTACTACCGGTAAGTTGGAATAATACGTTTATAGAAAATAAGAAGATGTGATTTGATTGCCAATGAGAAAACTCTCCACCAGAGACCAAACGACGTAAAAGTTAACGACCTTCGACAATAAGTAAAATCCATACCGCATAGTAAGCTATTAAAGGCCCCGTAATGACAAATGTAAAACAATTCAAACGAGAAAACTAACGGCCTGATTTATGCACAAAATAATAAACGAAAAACAAATATGATGTACAGCAACAAACGACAACCACTGAATTACAGGCTCATGAGGTGGGACCTTCACATACAGAATGTGGAGGTGTTAAACATGTTTGCTGGCGCCAAACCCTCTCCCTAGCCCAGTGGTGTAACAGTAATACATAAGAATAAACTATAAAAATCAGTTGAAAAGGGCTTAACTCATCAGATCGATACAATCCAGAAAAACATCCAACAAAAACAAAGACCGGGCGTGGCATGTTATTTATACATCTCTATCAACAAAAAAGACACAATTTGAAAGTGCAGATCTGAGAGTAGTCGCAGTTACTGACAGCTAGTACAAAGTCAATAACAACTAATAAAAAATCATGTATCTAAGCCTAAAATATAAATCAGTACACATCTAACATCTAACAGTCAGAGAAAACAAGACCTTGTGCAATGCCAAAATACAGGAAGATTGTAGAACCGTGAATTTGCATAACGTCATAGACCGAGTACCTAAATTGCACCCATTTAGCAAAAATAGCAGCGGAAATCTTAGAAGTTTTCATAGAGACTAAACAATTTGTCTTTTTATGATTTGACATTATGCACGTCTTTCAATATATCTAATTATATTCAAATATACACAAAACGTTCAGAGTATATATCAACAGATGAAGTATCCACTGGAATAAAGTAAAATCTATGGAAAAGTCGTAATGTAACATCCACAAAGAGTCAACTTTTAAAAACGAGCAATTAAAATATGTTACAGGCATCCATTTCTTGAATAAACTGTTAACACAGAGATATGTCTCGCCTATTTGTTATTTTTATAATGCAAATGTTGAAATTAAAATAGCAATACTTTAACATGTAAGTTATGCAAATATTCAAAGTCAATGAACCATGACTGAAGATACAGGGCTAAACAATCTCCATGGAAATGGGATGTGCCAATGCTAATACAACTGCATACCAAATACCATTGACTTTTCATAAGTCGTTCCCTTTAAACAAACCTAAACACATACATTAACTTGTAAACTATGTAAAGGTTTCTAATATTCCTTCATAATGAAGGGGTGGGGTTATATAATCTCCATGGAAATGAAATTTGCAAATGCCAATACATTTGTATACCAAATATCATTGACTTAACATTAGTGGTCCATCTTAAACTGACCTAATCACAAACTAATACATGTAAACTAAGCAAAAGTTTCAAAGTCAATAGACCATGACTGAGGGGTAAGGACCAAATATTCTCCGTGGAAATGAGATGTGCTAAGGCTTATACAACTGCAAACCAAATATCATTGGCCTACCACTAGTGGTTCACCATAAACTAGACCTAATCACATGTCAAACTAATACATTGTTGACGCTGACGCCGGAAACAGCATACTTATGTCTCGCTTTTTGACTCCGTCAAGGCGAGAAAAAAATGAATAGTAAGCATGGACTATTGTCAACTTGTTCTAAATTTTTGTAGAAATAAAACAAAACATCAGTTATTCGATTTGTACGGATGTGAATTTAAGCATGGATGCAATTTGGGTACTCCTCATTACAGAATCATGAATCGTTTGGAGGTGGTTTTAAACCCATTTTTTCTATGATTCAATATGGATTCAAAATTAAATTGGTGGAACTATATAGTAAATAAGGATACATTTACAAAATAAACACAGAATGGAAACTTTGTCTGTATCATAAATAAACGTAGGTGAAAAAAACTGTCAAAATAGGTGCAATATGTGTATAACAATAATCTTTAGTATGGTTTTATTTTACTGATAACAAAATCAATATTTATACCAATAAAAACAATATTCAAAGATTTAATTACAATGTTGAATTAGTAACCTTTCAGAATAAGTTGATTTACAACACATGAATTTACCCAAGGTCTTATCAAGTTGTGATTGTGTTGGTTTTGCTTTATACTTTCTATATCGTATCTTGTGATATTTTGTCCAGTGTCTGTGGTGTTTCTAACTGTCATTGTCTTGTTAATACTTTGGCCTGAGAAATGTTTTTAAAAGTTTTAGTAATGTTTAACTTTAAGTGTTAGAGACAATTTGTGTTGATGGATAATGAATTTCGTAATCACCTAGGGTTAGACAAATAAAAATACACAGATAGTCACTGCTTTTAAGATTTACCGATGCAAAGTACCTTCAAGCTAAACCAACCCATAAAGAAAAGCAATGGTCTGATTCAGAAGTTATATAGTTTTAGTCTTAAAAACTTCTTCTTAATAACAACACATTTGCAGTACACACGAAGTACACAAACTATTGGCTTGCAAAGTGCTGTGAACGGCTATTAGTCTGCTTACATGTATGTTGTATAAATAAATCATAGGCTTTGAACAATCTATGAAAAAATATCACTTCACTTCTAGCTTAGTTTAAGTGAGCAATGTTTTTATGTGATAAGGTGAAGTTTTTTTTTCCATTGAAAAATGAGCAAAATATATAAAGAATAGAGAATAATTGGGTTGAAAAGTATAAAGAACAGCTGTGGAAAATAAAAGAATAAGGTAATACAATACTGATTACACAAATGAACGACATACAAAATAAAGAAAGCACCAAATTACATGAAAATTTAATAGTACAATAATTTTATAGAATACGCTATTAAATCCTACAAATATGGACATGTATCGACTCAAAAAAACATTCACTGGACTAATGTGAACACGAAGTCACAGTACACTTGCAGACTCAACCGACTATGTATATTCATTCCATGTAAACTACAGCAATATTAGGTATCATGCTTGCTTGATTTCAAAGATAAAGGGTTTTGAAGAAGGGTTTATTTCATGCTTTGGTCTTTGCAACAATGTATTTTCTAAATAAATTGTCAAAAAACTTGGAACGCGATCGGACCCTCAGACAATACACCCAAATATTTTTGAATATTATTATTATTTTTATGTAAATGAGCAATTAATGTTTGCAAAATTCATTCTGTAATATTTCATGTTAATAAAAAGTAAAGAATCAATATAGAAAACAAAACAAACATACCAAACTAAATGTCATGTTGTCATGTGGTGTTGCAAAATGAAGTCACAGTACACAGAGAACGCGAAGGCACATTTCGTAGAGGACACCGTTTATATAGTGGGAAAATTTAAGTTTAAAAGCAAATATTATCCAATCAGGTTTCAAATATGACGGCTTCGTTGTACAATAGGTATAAAGCATGTCTATTTATTTCTAAAATGTCTAAAGGTTCGATTCGTTACCAGTTCTGGATTCGAAATATTATGTTTACAAATTAAATGTATTTGATTTATTCATTAAGTAACATGTACGATTAAAAGAGCATTAGCTACGATTTAGACAACAAATTAAAAAACGTTTTGTTTTGTTTTAAACATTCACAATAGCGGAATATTGAAATGATAATTCACCATTTGCAACCAGTTTGATTCAATTTTGAAAATATAATCTCAAAAAGAAGGCCGATGTAATAATGTCCGTATGCATGCAACCATTAATACTCCCCTTAGTTGAAGATGGGTTGTACTTTGCTTCAGCATGTTCAGTTATCAATTAGAATAGAATATTCAAAAATATATATCTTTATTGTCATATAAACATTATTAGTTTGTGACAAAAAAACAAAAACAAACATTATATAGCAAAGAAATGAACACATGGAAAAAAATCATAAGACTTCTGCCCTCAGTTCTAATGACTGTTTTATAAAGGAGACAATATTTTTAACGTGTTCCATGAAAGAGGGGTTTAGCATTTCTTTTACTTTTTGTTCTTGGGTAAGAGACATAAAATTATGAGAAGGTAAACAATTTTCAAATAGATTATCCCTGAGTTTTTTTGTTAATTTTACGTTCAAGGAGGAAGTGTTTTTCATTCTAGCAAGTGGCACAGTTTACATAATTTATCCTTTCTAGGAATTTTATAATAGCGACCCTTTT